AAATTTATCCTCACCCACAGTAACTTTGTTTTCCATGACAAACACTACCAACAAATAAGTGGCACAGCCATGGGCACCAAGATGGCTACGCGAACATTTTCATGGCCGAGCTGCAGGATAGACTCTTAGCGAATTCCAATCCTAAGCCATCATATTACTGTCGATATATAGACGACATATTTTTAATTTTGGAACATGGGATTGATAAACTCAACGAATTTGAACGCTTTGCCAACAACTTCCATTCCCGTATCAAGTTTACTATCAACTCTTCGAGTAGTAACATCTCCTTCCTGGACGTATCTGTCCACTTAAAAAACGGGATTATATCTACATCTGTTCATCATAAACCAACAGATAACTATTGCTATTTGGATTTCAATAGCTCTCATCACATCTCGCTCAAGAAGTCTCTTATATACAGTCAATGTCTTCGCATTAAACGCATCTGCTCTACCCCCTCTGTATACCAGTCAGAACTTGCCTGACTTACTTCTAAATTCCTAGCCAGCAACTACCCTATATCTTTCATCAAGTCTGCCATTTCTAAAACATCCACTAAGTCTCGTACAGACCTTCTGACGCATACCCCTAAATCTAATAATGATAGAATTCCTGATATTCGACTACAGTCCCAACCTAAAACTATTAGCTAACACACTCAGGAAAGACTTCCTCTCCCTCAAGCAAGACCCCACCATCGAACCCTTATTCTGCAACCCCCCTCCCCAATCTGAAATCTGTCATCACCTCCTCTAAGCTCCTCACCACGACTCGTGATCATGGTAACACTACATGTCAAAAAGCTAGATGTCAACTGTGCAAATTCATCAACACAGATCACACATTCTCACCCCTGGCACTATATACAGCATTCACCCTCCCGCTGCCAACTGTGATACATCCAATATTGTATACTTAATATATTGTAATATTTGTTGCAACGGTAATTATGTAGGGGAAACCGGCACCAAATTCAGACTTAGGATCAACAATCACAAAAAGTCAATCAGAGACAAAAGCCCAGGCTTCTAGTTAGCGCTCATTTTAACCTTCACGGTCACTCCATTGAGAACTTTAAGTGTATTATTCTGGGCTCTAACTATAGATCGTCCAATGACAGACGTTGTGCCGAAATAAAATGGATAATCTGGCTTAAATCCCACACCAACGGCCTTAACAAAGACCCTGGCTTTGCCACCGATTACACGTTTACTAACATCCAATAGGCCTTATATATTTATCATGTATATGCATATGATTGGACTTCTCGTATATTTCGCTTTTTTCATTTCTCATATTTTTACTCGTGCGCTGAATATGTCATTTATTTTGTCAGTTATCTATTTATCCTGTTTAGA